TCAGGCCCTTACACTTAGCTATCTCCCTGGCCCCCACATTTTGAACATTCTTATGATAGAGTATTAGAAGCAGAATATTTGTGATATGTACTGATGAGAAACTTCTGAAACTTCATGTTTCTGTCATTTAAGAGGAACTGTGTCACGATGTCCCCACCAATTTCCCCTTATTATTACTCTTTCTCCTTGGCCTAGATAATTCATACTTGGTCTTCAAGTCTCATCTTAAAAATGACTTCTGAAACAAAAAAAACAAAAACAAAAAAAAAAAAATGACTTCTGCTGGGGTCTTTGTTAAGTTCCTTTAATGGTACCCTTTTTTCAGAAATATAACTCACTAATGACATAAACTTTAAAAATTACATTATATTTCAAAATACCAAATTGTAAGCATGATAAGGAAAAATAAAAGTAAAGCAACAAAATGAAGAACACATTCGTTTCAGCGTGTGAGAATCCTGTGTAACCTCCACTGGAAGACTGAATGAAGTGGTCAGCCGTTCGCCTCCTAACGTGCTGTGAATGCTTCAGAACAAATGCAGACTGATGAGGTGGTGTGGGCTGTTGACTTTTCTGAAGTGGTGACCAACTCTAGGCAGATGCTTAGAAAGGCAAAAAAACGTACAAATGATTCTCTTCATACTCTACTGTCATCCTGAAAACTTCATTATATATACTGGAAAAGTATTTGGTGTTTAATATGTAATATAGAGCTCGATTTTATGCTTATTAACAAAGCTTGAACCTAAACAGATGTCACATAGGACTTAGGAGAGTCCTGGTTGTGCGTCACTCTTTTACTTTCAAGCTGTCTGATATCTTTGATACTTACTCACTAAATGCAGTAGTGCCCTACTATGATTGTCAAATTAATTACAAATGAAAAATTTTAATGCCATTGTAAATTTTCCAAATGCCTACATGGTACCTACTGAATGTAGCACCCTGAATTGAGCATCATACTTGTTGTGCTTTAAAGAAAAAAAACAAAAAACAAAAACAAACAACTGTGCTTGACTATTCTAAGTTCCCATAGGCAATGACTATTTTATGTTGTTATCACTAGCCAGGTACTTATGATACCTTGATAAATTAATTAGGTGAGCAAATTTTGCAGGAGTAGTCTATACAGCCATGAAAATGTTCCTGAGTATGGTGAGAGGCCTCCTGTGATACACCTTTAAAAATGGTGAGATGACAATAACCATTCTTGAATCAATATTTTTCATTACAAGGTATTTCACTAAGGAATCACACTATGTTTCATCTGTTTGCTTCAATAATCCATGAGCTAGGTTTATATATGGTAATTTTCTCAAGGTGATTAGAAACAGCCACTTTGTACCTGACAGAAGTAGGATTTGAACACAAATTCATAGGGGGTATTCATGTCCATTCACTGTTAAATGCTGGTTATTGTCTTAAAATGGCCTTATTATTTGAAGGAAAATTTGCTTTAACTCTCTAAGGGCTTATCTTTTAATATACCAGAGCGCTAACAAATTTTTAGGCAGTTGTGGAACTGTTTTATGGTTTAGATTATTGGATCTATAGCTTAAAATTTCTAACACTTACCATATTACTTCCTGCTCTTACATGCCTTGGTGTTTAAAGCTAACATTGTCCAGTGGATCATGAATTCATTTTTCTAAAATGGTGGTTAGGTATTTTTCATCTACATTAACAGTGAAATCAGTTATTTTATTATCTATGTTGGGAATTGGTAACAGAGTTCAGAGAAAAAATAGTTGACCATAATTGAGGGTATCTTAGAACAAATTTTATATGG